CTGACCATGGGATGCTGCCCCCCTTAACCTTCATTGGATGGGATTTTCCCTGGAATTTTTTGTTCCTCAATAAAAGTCCACTCCCTGGTGTGCTCTCTCTCTCTCTCTGGTCTCCTCAGTAAACCTGGCTACCACAGTAGGTGGCTGGAGACTGGAGCTGGGAGGAGCCGTCCTGGAGCTGGTTTAAAGGTAATTAGAGTCTTGTCTCTTTAATTTAAAACTCCCTAGCGTTTTCTCACGACTTGAACCTTCTTTCATGAACCCAGCGCAGGCCACAGGCTAGAGCCACCCACGCTCATGGATTGCCCAGCGGTCAACCTGGGCACTTGCTACATGGCCTGGTGCCCACCTGGGAGAGCACTGTCCAGCCACCACACCCCACTCTCCTGTATTGAAGGGACGGGGGTCCTGCAGGTTTTACACAGGCCTGGCCTGGTGCAGGGGCCTCAACCTGAGCTGGACGCCCTTGGGGCTGGCTCAGGAAGGTGACTGTGCAGGTTGACCACCGTGCCTGCCATTCGTCTTCCTGGACGGCCTGGCTGGGTGGCATGGGAGGCCGGGGAGGCCAGCCAGATGTTCCCTGAAGCCACGCTCCTGGTGCCTGGCGCCCGGCTGCCCCCTCGCCAGCTGGCTGACTTCCTGCGCCCCTGGCAGGTGGGGAAGTGTCAGGCCCGGCAGGCTGTGCCTGGATGCAGCCCAGCCTGACACCGCTGTCTCCAGGGGAGCGCGCCAGCCACCCCCAAACCCGGCTCCCCAGACCTTCCCCCAAGGAGACTGGGAGCAGGTGGAGGACAGGAGGGTGGGAGGGTGCGCGGGTGAGCAGGGCGAGGGGAGAACCGCCGCCTCCCCAAGGGTCCTGAGTGCACAGGGCCAGGCAGCCTTACTTGACCAGCTCCTCCCTGTCGGTCTCCACGTCCGGCTTCTCCTCCTCCTTCTCCGCCTCCTTCTCCTTCTCCTTCTCCTCCTTCTCCTCCTGGCTGCTGCGGGGCATCTGCTGCTGCTGCTGTTGCTGCTGTTGCTGCTGCTGCTGCTGCTGCTAAGGCCCAGGGAGGACGGGTGGAAGAGCAGGGTGAGGCAGGTGCTCCTGCACACCTGATCCCCACCGGTGGGTATGCAGTGGGCAGGGACAGGGGCAAGGAGACAGCCAGCAGTGGCTGGGGGCCGCTGGGCACCACTGGCATGCAGGGGAGGGAGGACCAGGCTCAGGGCCCTGCAGGGGAGGTGTGGGAAGCACTGGCGGGGGCACCTTGCCTCCTATGCCCAGTGCCTGTGTGACCCTCGGTGAGAGTATTGACCTCTCTGCTCTGGTTTCTCCCTAACGGTGAGAACCACGCAAGAGGGCCTCGACCAGGGGCTGGAGGCCTGAGCCAGAGGCCCCTTACGGAGCACCAAGGACGGCATCTGGCATCCAGAGTTAGGGGGGCACGAGGCACCCACCTGAGGGAGACCTGGGACCCACCCGACACCGAACCCCGCTCAGGGCCCTGCAGGGGAGGTGTGGGAAGCACTGGCCGGGGCACCCTGCCTCCTATGCCCAGTGCCTGTGTGACCCTCGGTGAGAGTATTGACCTCTCTGTGCTCTGGTTTCTCCCTAACGGTGAGAACCACGCAAGAGGGCCTCGACCAGGGGCTGGAGGCCCGAGCCAGAGGCCCCTTACGAAGCACCAAGGACGGCATCTGGCATCCAGAGTTAGGGGGGCACGAGGCACCCACCTGAGGGAGACCTGGGACCCACCCGACACCGAACCCCGCCCGCCAGGAGCTCAGGCCACCTCTACCCCGGAATCCAGGTCTGTAACACAGGAAGGTGGGGGACACCCCCTTCTCTAGAATCTCCCGAAGCCCTGGGCCTGTGTGAGGCAGTGGCCGCTGAGCCCGGGCTGCGGCACTCCCTCCTGCGTGGGGTCAGGGAACAGGCCGCTTCACAAGGCGGGTCCAAGGGGCTTGGGGAGGCCAACCTCCTCACTGGGGACTACAGCTTCCAACTTTGGTGTCACTCGCATCGCTAGTGCTGGCCTGCTGACCTGCCCTCCAGATAGGAACTGAGGGCTTCCTCCCGCACCCTGCCCCCGCCCTCGCCCTGCCTGGTTCCTGAGGGCCACCCTGGCTCTCCTCAGTCACCGGAGGACTCCCTGCAGGTAGTCACCTCGCCAGGCCCTCCCCCACCGAGAGCCAAGTGGGAAGGGCTGTGTGCCCCAGGCTCCTGACGTCAGGCTGACATCGTCACACCGGGTTCCCAACCAGGGAGAGACCAGGGGAGGGTCTTGGGCCTGCCCCCTGCCTGTCGACGCGCAGGCTGCACAGGCTCCCAGGGCGATGCCCAGCAGGCAGCACCTCCGCTGCAGCTGTTCCTGCAGGCAGGGGCCAGGATGGTGGCCCTGCTAACTCCGCAGCATGCCCTGGCTACGGGTGCCTGAGGTGGGCAGGGGGGAACGGGGTGGAGAGGGGGTGAGACCCAGGGGGCCGCCTCGCAGGGCCACTTCTGCTCTCGGCTCCCTGAACACCGGCACCCAGCACCCAGAGTCAGAGGCACGTCACGGAAGCCTGGCCACTCAAGGCCGTCCTCAGCTGTGTCCCCCTCTAGA